GGATGGATTGGTGAAAAGCTCATTTAAACTTCTTGTCTATGGCATTTACAAAATCAACATGTAGATGTGCAGAAAAGGCTTATGTATCCTTACATTTATCCATACAATTTTTAAATCATGAAAATGTTCACTATCAGTTATAGATAATATATAGCTTACTTATAACTCAAAGGTATAATGCCACATTGAAAGTATGGAATTTCTCAAATCTGATTTACACCTGGAAATGAACAAATATGTATTTTAGTATTTAAAGCAAAAAATGAATGATGTTAAATGAATGAGAAATATTCTGCATTATTGTTATATTATTTCTGATACGAATGCAAATATTCTGCAGGAAACTCCATTATGTTCTTCTGTAATTATGACTAACCTGCTTGTTTTCAAACTTTTTATTAAAAGAAACTGGAAGTATCAGTATTTGAATTTAATTAACCACAATCATTTTTGTGATTCCAAAACTATCAAGAACTCTGTTCTTTAATAAAACAATAGTTGTTGTAAATAAAATAAATATTTTATATAAATTTAATCATATAACATTTAAATACATGTAAAAAATTTACTCCTTCATTTGTGTTGTTTAGCATTTTAATTACGTTTTTTTTATATATAACTTAAGCTATTTAAATGATCCTGCGGCCCTCTAGTGGGCCCCGGCTTCCTGATTGAGAACCTAAATAACGTGACATTGATCATGTGACTCTTTGTAAAGACATCATCTCAAATCATGTTGGAGAACATGATCATCAGTTTTTACACAAACTACTGGAGATCATGCAGCTTGAGTGAGAGAGACAAACCCAAGTGTAAGACATTATGAAATTCATATAGTTAGCTAGTCAAGTTTTCAATGTTAAATTAGAAAGTGAACTCTTGGAACCCACTGTACATGTGTGTTCATTTTGGCATGTTGAAAGGGTAAAAAGAAACCTCTGGCAGTATTGTCATTCCATTCACGACCCTTCACCCTGCATTGGATTAATTTATATGCGGTCATTCCAGCTTCGTTTTGCTTTCCCTATTTGTTTCCGTTCTTTTGACAGCTGTTGTGAACTGATTGCATGAATGTCTCACAAGGGAGCCATGGGGTTCTCGCCAGTATAAACATGCTTGATAAAGGCTTGTGAGTTCTCACTGCCAAACATATAGTGATAGAACTCTTGTTTACCAACATTCTTGAAAATATATTTTTTAGCGTTCCACAGAAGAAAGGAAGTCATTGACGGTTTATTTATAGTCTGTGATGCATTATGGGATATCTTGCCTCACAGAATTCCAACATTAATGCCTTTTTAACAAGCAAGTCGATGACTTCCTCTGGTGGAACACTAAAAAGTATATTTTCTAGAATGTTGGTAAACAAGAGTTCTATTTCTTGTCCATTTTTATTAGCTGAGGTATGAATCAAAATGATTTCCTTGGTAATTTTAAGTTGCCTCTATTGGAAATATCAGTTTTGCTTGTCACACATGTTGTGTGTTAGTTGTTGATGCTGTCCCCTTCAGTCTTCTGAACTAGCCGGCAGCTATATCACCCTGTAGCCCAAGACTGGTTACCCACTGAAGCTAAGCAGGGCTGAGCCTGGTCAGTACCTGGATGGGAGACCTCCTGGGAAAACTAGGTTGCTGCTGGAAGAGGTGCTAGTGAGGTCAGCAGGGGGTGCTCACCCTGTGGTCTGTGTGGGTCCTAACGCCCCAGTATAGTGACGGGGACACTATACTGTAAAAAGCACCGTCCTTCGGATGAGACGTTAAACCGAGGTCCTGACTCTCTGTGGTCATTAAAAATCCCAGGATGTCTTTCGAAAAGAGTAGAGGTGTGACCTCGGCATCCTGGCCAAATTTGCCCATTTGGCCTCTGATCATCATGGCCTCCTAATCATCCCCTTATCTGCTGATTGGCTTCATCACTCTGTCTCCTCTCCACCAATAAGCTGGTCTGTGGTGGGCGTTCTGGCGCACTATGGCTGCCATCGCATCGTCCAGGTGGATGCTGCACACTGGTGGTGGATGAGGAGATACCCCCTGACAATGTAAAGCGCTTTGAGTGCCTAGAAAAGCGCTATATAAATGTAATGAATTAATGAATTAGCTTAACCAGCTTGAATTCTTTAATGAACAGGCTTTACAAGAAAGACTGTATGCGTTGAACAGATTGTTTTGCTAGAGAACAACACCACTGTGCTTATCCACCAACATAAACCCATCTGGATCAGCATAGAAATTCAGTTGAGTTGGCCTAAGCTGACTTTTTCAGCAGGTCATTTAACCCAGAACTTTCCTTACAGGAACAAGGGGAAAGAAACTGGTCAGGAATGACATCTCTCTCATCTCCCTCTGAATCCGACTTCATCTCTCACAGTGTTTATCCCAAGGTTTCATTTTCAGCCCAGATGTGTTGGACATCTCTGTTATGAGAATTGTGTTTATGACCCTGTGTAAATGGCAGATTTTGATCATGGGGATTGGTCTATTTTGGGACTGAGCTGTGTGATGGAGATTAATGGATATGACAGAGTCGGTTGTCTTTATATGGACAACCACTCAACTTTTTAAAGAGGTGGTTAACTAGTATGTGCTGTTTCCTATTTTAGCTTAATCTTGATATCATGTTCTCCTAAAGCTCTTTGGTTAGTGTGGTCAGTGTTTTAGTCAGATGCCAAAGTTTTGAAATATTTATTTAATAAAAAGTGACGTGACGTGACATGTGGCCAAGTATGGTGACCCATACTAGGAATTAGTGCTCTGCATTTAACCCATCCAAAGTGCACACACACAGCAGTGAACACACACACCGTGAACACACACCCGGAGCAGTGGGCAGCCATTTATGCTGCGGCGCCCGGGGAGCAGTTGGGGGTTCGGTGCCTTGCTCAAGGGCACCTCAGTTGTGGTATTGAAGGTGGGAGAGAGCGCTGTACATTCACTCCCCCCACCTACAATCCCTGCCGGTACGAGACTCGAACCCGCAACCTTTGGGTTGCGAGTCCGACTCTCTAACCATTAGGCCACGACTTCCCACGTTAGCCTCACAAGATGAAAATAGAAGACTTTTGGGTTATATTTGAGCTGTATTAAACATATTCTCACCAGAGTAGCAATGGTTGTTTTCAGTGAAATTTTTTTTTTATCTAGTAGGAGTAAAAAGACTAATTAATTCTCATACAAACTATCTAGTCCATAGTTCACATTCAACATGTGCAGTATAAAAAGTACAGTAGTATTAAACAGAGAATTATTATGTTTGCTTTATTGTTTGTTAGTAATTTTGTTAACTTTTGAAAGACTGTTTTAGTTTCTGAGGAATTCCATGAAGGGTTGATCAATATTACAGAGCATTCCTTCAGTAGCCAATCAGAGTCAAGAGTCAGTCAGACAGACTCCACCCCCCGCTGCAGCTGATTGGCTCTTCCTGCTCTTTATATCTCCAGACATGAAGGGCGCTGAAGTAAACATATCTGCTCTCACATACATAACTGGATCATCTCAAATCATCTACATTTCAGCTTAGCCACCTGTTACCTCAAGCAATGGCTGCCTTTGTGTCGGTGAGTTCAAATGCCACACAGAAGGATGTAGATTAAGTAGTTTTAGAATTTGTGCAGTTACCTCTTATTAACTAATTCATATTAATTACAGTAATGCAACAATGTAGCCATATGGATTTAAAAGTCAGCCACTGGAAGGTTTTTCTTGTTGTGTACACTACTGTTCAAAAGTTTGGGGTAGATAAGATTTTAATGTTTTTGAAAGTCTTTTGCTCACCAAAGCTGTTTTTATTTAATCAAAATACAGTAAAACTGTAATATTGTGAAATATAATTACAATTTAATGTAACTTTTTTCAATTTTAATGTTTTTTTAAAAATATTTTTTAAATATGTATTTTTTCCAGGATTCTTTAAATAGAAAGGTCAAAAGAACAGCATTTATTTGAAATAGAAAGATTTGTAACATTATAAATGTCTTTACTGTCTCTTTTGATCAATTTAATGCATTCTTGCTGAATAAAAGTATTCATTTCTTTAAGCTTAAATTGTATGTCAGTATATAGAAGAGTATACAGAAGATGATTATTGTATATAAAGCATAAGAGTATGTAGTCATGTGTCAGAGTGGAAGTTTGGAAGCGCCAGTGGTTGGTCAGCTTAATTTAGTGCTAGTCTCTGGCAGTTTCTGGCTGAGTAGATGGCATGTGTTCAGTGTACTTATGGCCTGTACCTTGCTGTATATAGAGCTCACGTTCATATACAATGTGTGAAATACTTGAGATGTGTTCCTAAGTGTCAGCAACACCTGGCTATCATGGTATAAAACTTGTTAGCACAACAGTATAACAATATAAAAGGCAAGACATTTGTTTAAAATGTTTGTTTTACTAACTTATTTGTGTTAAACAATGAATCTTATTGCTATTGTATTTGATTTTTGCAATTTTGTCTGGGATTCTAGTCTGCGTGAAAAGATCGGGCAATCGACTTGACTGTTTTTGTAAACTGAGATACTGAAATACATGGCTGTCCACTCTATTCATTTCCAGAGATTGTTCATACCAGTATTATTTGCATTTAACTTTTAAGATCCAGAGTATGTCTAATGTCAGACAAACTTTATCTCTTCAGAATGATCTTTGATAGTTATTCTATTTTTGTATTCAGATATTTTAACAACAGTTTTGTTTTGTTTTTTTGCTTATAGAGCATTAGGTTTTATAATCTATGATATTATGTACGAACTTTGTCATCAGGAAAAACTGAAAATATCAAAATACCACTATTATAAAATTCATAGAATAAACAAATAAATAAATAAAATTATGATTTATTATCATGTATTTATCATTATTAATTATTATCATTTATAATAATAATTATTATTATCATTTATTTATTAATTTTTTGTAAGTCTCAGGAAAGTCATAGGCATTCGCTGACATGATGACTTGAACAAAAACATATTTTATTATTTATTTAACCACGATGCTTTCTTCTCTTAGATGGCAACGTGTCACACCTGTAATAAGATGTCCAGACAACCTGGAATGAATCGTGAGCTTTTGTCTACATTGTCAAAGAACCGAAGTACCCCAGGAAGTGCGGGCAAACAAAGAACTCCACAGTCGGCCAGCAGGTCTACTCCGAAATCTGTAGTAGACAGAACACCAAGTGGCACACCAAGGTAAGCTACTGTTAGCGAGTGTGTATGTTACAGGTTGACATAGAACTAGCCTTAAGCTCAGCTATTAAAACCATATATACAATCTGTTCTTTCCACAGGTCAGTATCTTCAAACACCAGCTCATCATCATCAAAGTCTGGCAGTGCGAAGCCGTCGCCTTTCGCCCGCCTCAAGAAGATCCTTATGCTGGAAAACAAACAGCAGAGCAAGAAAGGTGGCCTGAAGGACTTCCTCTCATCTCTCTGAAGACCTCAGGGTCATTAAAATGAAAGACTCTGGCCCACTTTGAGTGGAGCTGCTGAAATTTAGAGCATGAAGCTTGATGAGGATGACGATCACTTCTCCTTGTGTATTACAATGCCATCTAGTGGAGGAGTCTTTAGCGTGGATTATATTGAAGGACAGGGTTATATTGAACAGAAGGTCTCCTTTCCTTCTATCAAGTGTCTGTTTCTGAATCCTTGTGGATGAGTGGGGAAAAAATGTCCTTTTGTAACTTGTGCTACAGAACCATGCTGTGACATTTTATAGTTTTTTTCATTTGCCATTTATTTTCATGTTCCCACATATTGTTCATTTTTGTACAAGAAAAACAACTTTTATATGTTGTGTTTTTAATGTTAATTTTGTACACTTTGAATTCACACATTTGTGTCCACAGCTCTTAGTTTGGATGTTAGAACGAGCCGTTTTAGGTAGGTGTGGCTGACTCTGAACTTTTATAAAGAATATCTCTTTGGATTTGAGTCTTTGCAACTTTACAGATCTTCTTTATGCACCAAGAGCTTGTAACACTCCAAAGAGAAAGGAAAAATTGAAATCGCATCATATGACCCCTTTAAAAGAAGGATTGTCTTTACACTTGGCTTACACACTGAATTATTATTATTATTATTTTTATACTGTTACAAAATTTGTGCTGGGTTGTTTACATTTGATGGCTTATTTGCCATCAAACTATGTAGCAAAGACCAAAAATATTTCATACTGACTATTTTTCTTCTCAATACATTTAAAAAGAAAGATGATGTTTTTTTTGTCTTGTTTGATCTCTGACAGATAATTTTCAATAAAAAGTAAAATAATAACATTTGTCTGTTTATTTAGTTCTCTTAAAAGACATATCAAAACTTTTCTTCTGGCTTCAAACTGTATTATAATACATCTTTAAAAATTAATATTGATGTAGAAACACTGTGTGTGTTAATACATGTACAAAACTGGAATTACAAAATAAATCATGGTTCTTAATACATACTCCCAGGTTCTGTTAATAAAAATGTTCAAAAACTAGCAGCTTTATCATATAATTACAGCATAAACACCAGAAGAAATAGGTCTGGGTATGTGGGGTGATTTGAAATATTGCATTGGACAATATAGTATGTTATATTTACATGCATGTATGAATGTAGCCATAAGGAATTTACTTTTTTCTCTGACGCCATGTATTGATATATTTTATAATTACTGAGTAACATTAACATTATAAATGCACTTTCAGTCAAATGCTAATATTGAACAATTATGCATACAAACATAAATAAGGAAAACACAAAACATGCCAGCAGGGTAAAAGTATAAAATACAAAGATCTAACAATATCAAATAAATACTGCTTTATTCAAAGAGTCTCTAATACACTGTATGTACAACCTAACTTTAGTCAACAAAACCATGAAGTTGGGTTTTTATTAGTAAACTTGCACTTATGAATGTAAATTTTGGTCAAAATGTAGGTAAATTAAATCAGTAAAATAACTTTTAATCCTCTTTAGTATATTCACTGAAGCCAAAAAGTACATTTTCCCATAAAAGTTAAAGAGAGCCTAAGCACTGAATATTTATATTGATATAGATGTCTTTATCTCACACCACAATATAACTGAATACCCATGTAGTTTTGACCTCAATGCGCGTGGCTTGCAGACTTTTATTTTGACATCTCGTACTAATCCACTGCTCTCGCTCTTTCACCCGGAAGTGGTCAAACGCTCATATGGGCCTTTACAATCACTATTACCCTAAAATCGAAACTTTTTGGACATAATATGTGGTTAAATATTTAGAAGAAATTATCCCCAACGAATGTACAATGTCAGATCGCAAACGAAGCCGAAAGCACCACGAGGACAGGCATGAAAAAAAGAAACACAAGGAGTCAAAACAAGATGATGAAGGCAAATACCAACACCAAACCAGAAAACTGATTCAAGAGGTGCAGAAACTCAAGCACGTGGAGACTTTGTGAGTATTTGCTGCATTCTTAATGCTTTCGAAGAGACTTTTCTATAATCTGAACTTGTGTAGTTTTATGTCATCACAAAAGTTTCTCGTCTGTCCTGCATACATTTGATGACTTTCTCTTCATGTTCCCTTCCAGCTATGAAAATCCTCCTCCTGGGTTCATTAAGGTTTGGCCATGGCTTGAAGTGTTGTCGTTAAATTCTCCAGATTCATCATAAACTAGTTGTTTTGGCCCTCTTTTACAAAATGTGATCTGAGATTGTGTAAATGCATTAGAAATACGCGTTTGAGTGAGCATTTGGCAATACATGCATGACTGCTTTTGCAGGAAGAGGATGACAGACCAGAGGACTGTATCCCTGATGACCCTGGTAATGAGGACGCTAGGAGCTTTTTGGCTCACGCTCCCACTAAAGGACTGTGGATGCCTCTGGGGAAAGAGGTGAAGGTCATGCAGTGTAAGCAAGCATTCAGATGCCTTCACTTCACTGTAGTGATATTTTAGCTTTTACAGTGTCGATGAAGGTGATTGAGAAATCTTAAGTGCACAAACTGTGTGTGTAGGCTGGAGATGTAAGAGGTACGGCCACAGAACGGGAGACAAAGAATGTCCTTTCTTTATCAAAGGCAACCAGAAACTGGAGCAGTTCAGAGTGGTGAGTAACACAAGTGGCCTACTTTTACACTAGTCATTTATTTAAAAGCATTTAAAAAATGGCATTACATATACAAGATTTGGACATTTTGAAATTGAGATGTGAAGTAGCAGGTAGCTGTCTGATATACAGATTTCTGATACATAATCGAACTCTTGCATGGATAATATCACGTTTTTTTTTCTTCTGAGGTTCATGTATGTAATTTTACATTCTTTATCTGACCATCTGACACCAAGATGAATTCCTTGTGTGTGTGTAAACACACTTGGCAATAAAGCTCATTCTGATTCTGATTAAAATTAAAATGTTTATTTTTTGGTTTCTGCACCTTTAAAACACTACACATAAGTATGCTCATGCACATTTTGTCCAGGGTAGTTTTTAGCCTTTTTGCAAAGAAATGTTCAGTACTTTTAGGAAAGTATGACTCTAGTCATATCAGTGGCCTAATACAAGCTGATTTATTTACATAGAGGAGGTCACCTCATGGGGTCTGACATGTAGAGGTCACATGATCAGCCAAAAACTACTGGCTTTACCTTTGGCATCCCTCCTATTATCAGACTCTTATTCACACACAACTGAACATTTTTACTTTTGTGTGACATTGAATCCAAGCCATTAGGTGGCAGTATAATTCCAAGATGACCGCCATATCAACAGTTCAACATAAAAAAAAATCAACTGTTACTTTAAAACGATACAATACGTAAAATGTAAAAAACGTTTGTCATGATCAGCCAAAAACTACTGGCTTTACCTTTGGCATCCCTCCTATTATCAGACTCTTATTCACACACAACTGAACATTTTTACTTTTGTGTGACATTGAATCCAAGCCATTAGGTGGCAGTATAATTCCAAGATGACCGCCATATCAACAGTTCAACATAAAAAAAAAAATCAACTGTTACTTTAAAACGATACAATACGTAGAATTGTAATATGTTGAATCTGAATTGTTTGTGAATGTTTATACTATTTCTGTGATTCTCTCACAGGCGCATGAGGATCCTATGTACGATATCATCCGTGAAAACAAACGCAATGAAAAAGAGACTAGGTACGTCGTGCTCTGTCACTCAATAATGTCAGTCAAGTTTTAAAGAACAGAGCCTGTGTCATCAAGTGTTTTAAGCACTTGTGCTTAATATTTGAAATATTTTTGTCAGTCCATGTTGCATTTCAATTACATTCATATTCAATAAGGGTGGACTCGATTTACAATCAGTCAAAGTGATGGACACTATCGTTCAAAAGCTTGGAATCAATAAACATTTTTTGTGTTTTTAAAAGAAGTCTCTTATTCTCACCAAGTCTGCATTTATTTGATCAAAAATACAGTAGAACAGAATTGTTGTGAAATATCATTACAATTTAAAATAACTGTTTTCTTTTTTTAATATATTTTAAAATGTAATTTATTCCTGTGACGGTAAAGCTGAATTTTCAGCATCATTACCCCAGTCTCCAGTGTCACATGATCCATCGGATCTGATTTGCTGCTCAAGAAACATTTCTTATTAATATCAATGTTGAAAACAGTTAATATTTTTGTGAAAACCCAGGTACATTTTTTTCAGGATTCGTTGATTAAAGTTTAGAATTCATTTGAAATCTACATATTTTGTAATATTAGAAATGTCTTTCCTGTTACTTTTGATCAATTTAATGTGCCTTTTTTGAATAAAAGCATATTTCTTTTAAAAATTGTACTGACCCCAAACTTTTGAACGGTTGTCTGCATATGAGATGAAGCGAATCTGCATTTATTTGATCAAAAATACAGTAGAACAGAATTGTTGTGAAATATCATTACAATTTAAAATAACTGTTTTCTTTTTTTAATATATTTTAAAATGTAATTTATTCCTGTGACGGTAAAGCTGAATTTTCAGCATCATTACCCCAGTCTCCAGTGTCACATGATCCATCGGTACTGATTTGCTGCTCAAGAAACATTTCTTATTAATATCAATGTTGAAAACAGTTAATATTTTTGTGAAAACCCAGGTACATTTTTTTCAGGATTCGTTGATTAAAGTTTAGAATTCATTTGAAATCTAAATATTTTGTAATATTAGAAATGTCTTTCCTGTTACTTTTGATCAATTTAATGTGCCTTTTTTTAATAAAAGCATATTTCTTTTAAAAATTGTACTGACCCCAAACTTTTGAACGGTTGTCTGTATATGAGATGAAGCGAATGCTCATCCTCTGCTAGATCTGCTTATTAATAAAATATGTGGTGCGTTGAGGTCTCTCAGAGGCCAGTGTTGATAAATTGTGTCATTTCAATAAAAGAACCCTGTTGCAGACGATTACGTAACTCTTTACTCCACTGTGATTATCTTCTGCTGTGTGGTGACGAGATCTTGCTACATGGGAGTAATTAGAAACCGTTATGTGGGATGTAAACCCATTGTGGGCCGTTTTGACAGGTTATTTTGTTCGTACATTGCTGAGCTCCACATTTATGCCACAGAACTGTTAATAAACATTCCCCCGGGGGTTTGGCAGTTTGAATTTTTCTCAGCAGGATGTTGGAAAACAAGAAGTAGCTTGTTAAAGAAAACTTGAAAGTCAGAAGTCAGCCGCTTTTACATTGATGCAGTCTTCTTCACAGCATGTAGTGAATGAAAGCAAATCTAAAACGGGGTTGTGCAGTTCCCAAGGATACATGCCTCTGTTAGAGGATGTGAACCCTCTGAACAGCAATGATCTGATGAATTGTTAATGTGGCAAAAGCTGTCAGAAGGTGCTTGTGTTTTCTGCTTCCTCTTCAAATCGATAGCAATTGAATTTAGTTGGGGATATTAAAAGATATTATTCTCCAAATATGAAATGGGAGATAATAAAGTTCTTATTTGAAATAAGCCGAACAAATCCAGTTGCTCAAAGGTGAAGTGTGTCATTTCTGTACCACTAGCGCCACCAAAAGGAATCGCAAAGGTAATGACTGAAATGTATTTAATGTCCTTTAAAGGCAGAGTAAGTGATTTTATTATTTTATTTTATTTATTTATTTTATTTATATTTTATGCTATAATTATGCATATATATATATATATATATATATATACACACATACATATTTAAATTAAGTATTGCTTTTTAGGATTTGATACAAACCATAATTTAGATTTATAGTTGTCTCTATTTATTAATCTGGAATATTTTAAAGGAGGTGTGTGTATCAGTGTCGTTTTCTGTACAGAGATCCATTATCTATAGTTTTATTGTGTCTTTATTGTCAACTTATTACAATATTGTGCATGGAAAATTATTTTATTGTGTCATTTCTCTTCACTGTAGGATCCAGCAGTTGAGACAGATGCTTGAAGACACCACCTCCGACTCTGACTCCACCTCGTCTTCCTCTGCCTCCTCCGATCACACCCGGAAGAAGAAAAAAAAGAAAAAAGAGAAGAGGAAGAAAGAAAAGAAGAAACACGTGAAGAAAAAGAAGAAGCACAAGGCCAAGGCTGGCGATGACTCGGACTCAGATTAAAACAAGGCCAGTGGTCTGGGTGTCTCAGTGCTCATCATAGAAGCTCATAAGGTCTGCAGTGGATGCGTCAGCCCTATCGAATATACACAGGAGACTTCCCATCAGTTCCCCAGGCCATCTTCAGATCTGCTTAATAATGCATGGATGCATTTAATCCCCTCTGTTGCATGGAATGCTTAGGATATGTGCATCTCTGACAGATTTCCTATAGCCGGTCCATGCTTGTACAGAACACTTTCTGAATGTATGTTGATTTACATTTTGAGAATGTGTCATTGTGAAATTAACTGATGGGAGCTTATGATACATGCCATCTGCTGCTGTCATGAACAGTGACATTCATAAGTGTCATGTAAATAAATCAATAACTATGCCTTTTTAGCATGTGCAACTTCTTTTTATGGTAATTTGACATTTTTAAAGAGATCTAGAGTCTTCTAACTCAAATTACATGTGTGAATTTACATCCTCTATTTCCATTAAAGTGTTAAAGGCTTTTGTATCTGGCCGTGGTACAGAAGCGCAGCCAATTAGCACCTCTTGAAGGCCTGACAATGGTTTGCACAACATTCACATCACGAGAGAGGCAGATCGAGAGGGGAGAAGATGCTTTTGCTTTGATCTCGTCACTCATTGCTGAAATCTGGAGTCCCGCGGTTGTCGTCAGAGTACATGCACCATTTTGTACCAAGATAAATAGTGCATCACATCATCAAAAGAGCTCTTAATAATGCTTTTTCAATTAGCAACTATGTATGCTTTTTAAAAAGACAAGAAAACAATACTAAATCAATAGTACATTTTCATTTTAATATTATAAATATTAAATCAACTTAATGCAGTCTATGACTGTCTATCAGGGCTGTTTTTTCAGATGAAGTCGTTAGCTTGCTTTCATCTTCATAATGCGTTTGTACTGGTAATAAAAGCTGGATTCTCATGTTTCCTTTTTAGTTCCTCTTTTCATTGTATCTCTCTTTGCTCTGAACTGGCCAGGGCCATTAGAAACGTGTGCGTATGTGACATGTTCCCTTTTTATCTGACAAGCTGTGAATCTCACAAATGAGTTCCCCACTGTTCAGCTCTATGCTTTGTTGAATTGCTATTTTAAATTTTGATTAGCTAAAGAAGTTTAATCAGTCAAGACAAGTGTAATTTGATGCTAAATTTAAAATAGCAGTTTTGCCTACAAAAATATGTATAAAACATGTTATAAAATAAATTTCAAAACATATATATATATATAATATATAAAATTACAAATAAAATATATAAATAATGCCATATGTATGGTATATGTAATTGGCTATTTTATTGTAATATATATATAGTGCATGGAAATATATATATATACCCATTACAATTTACCAATATACCAATTACATTTATTAATTTATCATCTTCATAGGTGAAATATACTTTTAAAGTATACTGCATAAGGATCATGCACAGAAATCATATTTGATTCAATCAACAGTGCTGTTTTCATGATGCAGAGCATGGTGTTGGTTTTCGGCAGTTTCATTTCCTAAAGAACTAGAGTTGTTCATCATTTCACACAGTCTGAAGAAAAATCCGAAGCATGTCACAGCATTCAGAGAGGAGCTGAAGCACAGATTGACCCATGATGTGTATTTGCATAATGGCTTTTATATAGAGACAAACGAGAGGCAACACCAGCAGTGATATTGCATATAGACTGGATTTTGGTTTACATAATCTTTCACATCATGAGCTTTGCTTAGCAAAATTCTAGACATTCTTGGAAGGCTTTTGTAGAATTGTGTCCTCTCTGATCATCAAAATGGAGTAAGCAAATGATGTCCGCATGGGATGGTTAATACATTACCTTGTGTGGGACAGATAATCTATTGCCGTGTGTGGGTGGACATTGTGAGGATTTTGAGGTCTGATAGACAGATATTTACAAAATGCCAAATATGCCCTGAAGACTAATGGCCAGGCAATGATTTTCTGGTTTAATCCTAGTTTCTTTGTCTCTAGACAAAGGTTTGCTGGTGTTAATTAAAGTCTTGAAAAATACTTAATTAAGTATATAAATATTTCATATACTCTTGTAACAACAAAAATGAATCATTCATTCTCAGTAGATGATAAACTCTGCATAAATTATAGCGCAATTTATTTATTTATGAATAAATTAAGAATTAAAAAGACATAGAAAGCAACAACAATTTATTTATTCAAGAAATCCTTTGAACCTCCATTCCAGAAAATCATTAGGCTAATTATTTATAGCCTATTTTGTACAGGAATTTAGCAGACATTTTTATCCAAAGTTACTTACAAAAAGCAAATTTTTTAAAATTTTATTCAATGAAAATGATTAAAATTCATTGGTACTTTATATTTTAAGCTCATGGGATATTTAAAACATAAATCTTACGTTTTTTAATTAATCTTAAGAAATAAATGAATTATTTTTATTTAAATGTATTTATATAAAATTTTATCAACTCGAACTATTAACTATTTTCTACCTTTCCGATGACCTTAAAGCCTAAAATGTAGTAATATTACTGTTTTTAATTAAATACATGTGTTCCAGAGAAATTCTAACATTTTATGGAAGTCCCTATATGTCTTATTTACTATGTAATTAAACAATAGCCAAAAAATATTTTATATCAAGAAGCAAAAACATCACAATCATGGGGTAGGGGCGTGTTTGTTTTGGTGATTTCAAATATAAACATTGGCTACCAGAAATCACTTACTCTGCCTTTAACTAGACTAGACTGAGAAAACACCCTGATGCGCTTTTATCTGTCTTTTGAATGATGAGGATTTACTGTGCTGTGATTGGTGGATGCCTGAAGCGGCGGAGCCAATCATGAGCCGGGAGGAGGAGGAAAGAGGAAGTGAAAACAACATCAGCACTATCTATCTAGTGCGCTAGAGAAAGGGAGGGAGTGTGCGACTGCAACAAACTCCCAAACATCAATCCCTGGAAGGAGGAAAAGTCGCCTCGCCGCTTCAGGTTCGTACGATTTATTTCGCATTGCGATTCGCCTGATGTTGATCTGCCGGTTGCCATCACAGGCCAGTTCGTGCTTTTTCATTCCTGCTGGCTGAAGTTTAAGCGCTGTAGTGTGCAGTTGTAAAACAGTCATGAATACCCCCTCTATTGAGCGCGGACAGACAGATTACAGCGGGTGGAGAGTTTGACAGAGCTCAGTGCGTGACTAACTGTGCGTGTTTTATTCCACACACACTCAAATTTACAAGAAGACTTGTGAGGTCAGAAGAGTGTCACAAACTGTTTCTTTTCACGACTGATTCCGTTCAACAGTGTTAAATTGAGAATGGTGCATTACAGAGTTCTTCAAAATGACAGTGACTTCTCTATTGTATCTGTTGTAAAGATCTGAAAAATAGAAAAGCAAAATCTTTTATGTACTTTGAAACTTATTGCGTTCATTATACGATTTTTATTTTATGGAAGATCCTCGTGGACTTGAGAATAAGACTTTCGCTTGGCTTTTTTTTAATTAAAAATGACTGTGCGTGAAATAAAGGTCCCGTTAAAGGAACAGTCACACTAATTCTGTCATCTTTTACTCGTGTGGCGTTAATATTATGTATATTACTCGCCCTCGTGTCGTTACAAACCCCAATGATTTAGACTGCTTTCTTCAGTTCAACACAAAATAAGATGTGGGACAAAATAATACTCGCAGTCACCATTTACTTTCATTTGTAGGCAAAAAAAGATGCAATGAAAGTGAATGGTGACTGAAGTCAGTCTTTTGCCTAACATCGCCTTTTGTGTTCCACGGACGAACGAACTTGAGTAAATGATGACAGATTTTATATTATTGGGTGAATTTTGTTGGAGTGAAATGCCCCTTTACATGCTTAGATTAGTGCTGATAATTGATAGTCGATTCGATTAATGGAATAAATATAGCTAGTTGTATTTTTTATTATTATTTGAATGAAACTGCATTTATCTTGCTTAAGACTGTAAAATGTAAATGAAAGAAAGTTATGTATGGCCTTTTTATTAAGATGACTCATACAAACATTGACAGTTACAAAGAAAACACATCAAACTAAAACACTGTATGATGGCAATAAACAAACATGGGGGAAAACAGTGTTTAAAAATTCAGTAATCATTTATATATTTGATAGTTTTATGCATTTTTTATACTTTGTGCACTACTGAGGTAAAATCATGCAGTAATATCAAACTTTAGTGGAGTAACAAATTTTGCTTTTGTAACTGTAAGTAATTTTTTTTTGTGCTGTGTGTCAAACTTTCATATAATATAGGCTACCTGCATTTATTTTCTTCAAATTAAAGTACTTAATTCTGCTGTCATTTCAGTAGGGTGGTGCTCATCGGGGTTCACTTCCGGAGATCATTTTTCAAACTGATGTCATTTCAGTTAAATTTTAGTTATTGATATACCCAAACACTTTCTGACATTTGTTGCTAACTATTTTTTATCATCAATTATACCAATTAGTTTTTGCAGTCCTATTTGAGACTGTTGAAATATCAGCAGAATTCTTGATACACCAATATATTGTATTTATATGTTGTGGTATATTTAAAATAGCTCTGAAAGTGTCAAAATCGAGGAAGAAGTGACATCTGTAAGTAGTAGAAACTTCCATGCCCTCTGGGAACTAAATAGTTTGTTCCTTTTCATACAAAAAAAAAAAAAAACTATCAGAAGCTCAAAGTCTTCATCTTTTTTTCATGCATATATTTCCTTGACTTTGTAGTTCAGATGCATGCTGGTCTTGTAGAGTCCAGATGAGAATGTGTTTTTGTTGCAGTGACAGTCTGTTTCTCTTATCCTCATGTCGTTGAGTCACTTTTGTGTCTGGAGGCAAGTGTGAGCTCAGCGTCTTGCCCCATTGGTCCTTAAGATCACATGCATGCGCTGTTGGTCTTGAGATGCAAGCATGTCCAGTGCATGTTAGCGGCATGTAGAATGTTTTCTGGGTCAGAAATAATTGAGTCAAATCACAACATTAATGTCAAATGCATGTTTTGCTGTCTGTTGGGACCGAAGTGTTATTTTTTGTTATATATAGAAAGTGAGAAATAGGACAGGATTGACAGAGCATGGAAGGAAATTAGATTGTACATAATTTGCAAGCCAGACTCGAACCCACAAAGCCCAAATGAGCACCATGGCGCAATCATGTATCAGAGCTTGCACTGCTAGGCCACAGTTGTTTGATGAATGTGTGCACTACTTTCATGTGCTTTTCCTCTCTTTAAAGTTTTTGCATCATGCTAAACTCATGAGGGTGGCATCTTTAGTCAAGTAAGAAATGCTTCTGCTTTTCATTGTCTTCAGTTCTGAGTTGAAGTCAGGGAGTTTATCATTGTCTCTG